CAAATGCAAGAATAGGAGATTTACGTGGAACAGCGAGAGAGAGGACCCAACTCTTTGTAGCATCGACAATGTTTTCTGCAACCTGGCATGGGAGGATATGCACCCAAACTTTGTGCTAATGGCGGCCTCCACTTCGTTCTCTGATCATTGCCCTCTGGTGCTGGCTAATGGAGTCAGGCCTGTCACCAGGGCAAGGTTCAGATTCGAAAACTTTTGGACAATCTTTCCTCATTTCCAAGAGACGGTGCAGCATGCCTGGGAGAGGCATGTCTGCCATGACTGCCCGTTCGTCAGGTTGAAGAAGAAAATGGAAAGAGTTGCGGCGGACTTAAAGGTGTGGAGCAAGAGTCTGTTTGGGGGTGCAAAACTTCAATTTCATATCGCCAACGAGGTCATCATGAGGCTAGACGCAGCGCTGGAGGCCAGACCGCTGTCACCTGAAGAGCTACACCTGAGGAAGCAGCTAAAACTAAAGGTTCTTGGGCTGGCAGCAGTTGAAAGGGCTCGCAAGAAGCAGGCCTCAAGGATTTCTTGGCTCCGCGCAGGAGATGCAAACTCAAAGTTTTTTCATGCCCGCGTCCTCTCACGTCGTAGAAAAAACTACATCCACTCGATCAAGCACGGCGACGCCATTGTCACAGAGCCGCGGGAGAAAGCCAAGTTGGCCTTCGATCACTTCGCCCGCGGCCTTGGGAATTCCTGGCATCGAAGCTGCACACTTAACTGGGACATGCTCCAGCTGCCAGCCGTCGACCTGCAGGGCATTGATCTTCCTTTCTCTGAGCAAGAAATCTGGGCGGCCATCAAGGCATCTCCATTAGAAAAAGCTCCTGGGCCGGATGGGTTCACTGGCAAGTTCTTCAGATCATGTTGGCACATTATCAAGCTAGATATCATGGCGGTTTTCCAAAAGTTCTACAACCTAGAGGGTGGCAATTTTGCCGATCTGAACACTGCCTTCATTGCCTTGCTGCCGAAGAAGGATGGAGCAACAGAGTTGGGTCACTTTCGTCCGATCAGCCTCATTCATTCCATTGCTGAGTTGATCGCAAAAGTTCTATCCATGAGACTAGCGCCTCGGCTTCAAGACCTGATTTCCCCAGCGCAAACGGCGTTTCAGAAAGGAAAATGCCTGCATGAATGCTACCAATATGTACAGGGCTACGTCAGAGCGCTCCATCGGCAGAAAAAAAGGGCCCTCCTGTTCAAGTTAGACATCGCAAAAGCTTTCGACTCTATCTCTTGGGCTTATCTCCTGGAGCTAATGCAACAGTTGGGTTTTCCACCGAGATGGCGTGATTGGATCGCGCTTATCTTATCGTCGGCCTCCTCTTCAGTGCTGCTAAACGGGGACCCGGGCGATCGCTTCTGGCATATGCAAGGGTTAAGGCAGGGCGACCCCCTCTCCCCCCTGCTCTTCATCATCGCCATTGATCCGCTCCACCACCTGTTGGCTGCCGCTTCTGACCTTGGGGTCCTGGCGCCCCTGCCGGGCCGTGGCCAAAGCTTGCGTGTCAGCTTATATGCTGACGACGCAGTTATCTTCGCCAATCCATCTGCGCAGGAGGTGGGCAAGCTGCTAGAGCTGTTGGATCGTTTCGGAGAAGCCACCGGTCTAAAGCTGAACCAGAGAAAATCTTCAGTGGTCGCAATCGACTGTGAGGAGCTGAACGTGATGGATCTCCTACAGGGCTTCGGTGGCCAAATTGTCAGTTTCCCAATAAGTTATCTAGGCCTCCCGATTTCACCAACTCGCCTCAGAATGGTACATTTCCAGTTCCTGATAGATAGGTTGAAAGCACGGCTGGCTGGCTGGAAGGGCAAGCTCCTTAATATTGCGTGGAGAAGAGTTCTCGTCAGATGCGTCCTCTCTGCTCTCCCAACTTTTGCGATGACTGCACTGAAAATACCGAAGAAAATCCTGAAGGAAATGGACAAATCGCGAAGACGATTCCTTTGGGCACAAGACGACGAGCTCTCAGGTGGAAAGTGCAAGGTATCCTGGGACAAGGTTTGCTGCCCACTTGATCGCGGAGGCCTTGGTCTCCTGGATCTGCACAAATTCAATCGTGCGCTGAGAATGCGCTGGCAATGGCTTGTTTGGGCAAGGCCTGAGAAGCCTTGGGTAGCCGTGTCCCCAACTCCTGGCGATCATGAAAGGGCTCTGTTTGCCAATGCAACATCAATCCGTGTTGGCAATGGAAAAAGCACCAACTTCTGGAAGGATACCTGGATCGGAAATGAGCCACTGTCTACAACTTTCCCTGCTCTGTTTAGTCACGCGAGGCGCAAGAACAGATCGGTTGGGGAGGCGTTGGCAAATGATCAGTGGATTGCAGATTTACAACATGGAGATACAGCAGCAATAGCCCCTCAGTTTCTGCAGATGTGGCGGCTCTTTAACGCTGCGCCAATTGCCATGGCTCCTGATCAAGAAGACGAAATCACATGGAAGCTCAACCGCGAAGGAGCATACACTGCCAAATCAGCTTATCAGATGCAATGGCAGCAAGCCCCCAACCCGGCCTACAGCAGCTTCATCTGGAAGGTTTGGGCTCCCAACAAGCTCAAAATGTTCATGTGGCTCTTGATAAGAGATCGACTGTGGTGCAACGACAGACTGCAGAGAAGAGGTTGGCCCAATGGCTATTTTTGCCCTTTGTGCACCAGGAACTTGGAAACATCTACACACCTCATCTGGAACTGCAGTTTCTCACACCGGGTTTGGGGGAAATGTGCTACTTGGTCAGGCTGCTCTTCGCTGGCTCCAGTCACGACGTCTCGGCTCAGCTCGGCACAGACTTGCCAACTCCTCATGAACAAGACTGCTACCGCTTGCAGGCGCGGAATCAGATCGCTGATCATCATGATCGCCTGGGAACTGTGGAGGGAAAGGAACCACTGCGTGTTCCGGGCAAAAACACCGCGGGTGGATGACGTTCTCACGGCAATCAGGAGCAATATCGAGCAATGGAGACTGGCCGGAGCCAAATGTTTAGAGTCTCCCTTCGGGGACACCACTAGCGAAAATTAGACTCAAGAGAGGGGAGGACAACTGTATTTTCCTTTTCTTTTCATCCATCTGATCGCTTGATCTTTGTTTCCGCTGCTCTCTGCTAAATCAATGAAGCCGGCAGCTAGCCGGGTCTTTCAAAAAAAAAGTACAAAGTACGGGGTACAAGGATGAGGTGCTAGAAACCTCCCACACAGCCGAACAAAATCGGCTAAAACTCTGTTACAACCCACAGGGCAGATCAAAACACTCTAACAAACGAGAAACTATCGCTCAGCCGTAGTGGAAGGATTCAAAGCCTCGTTAAGCAATTTAATATCATCACTAATCAGGTTCACCACGGCCCGAGGAGTCAGCTCCTTATCTTCAAAAACTCTTCTGTTTCTCTCCTTCCAGAGATGCCAGGCGATGTAAGCCGCCAAAGTTAAATCAGCCTCAATCTTAACAGTCGCGCCGCTGTGCGTGCAAAACATCCTTCACCAGCCCGAAACTGAGGTTGTCGACAACCCACCATTTTGCACCCAGCCGTTGGCCCCTAGAGCAAGATGCCAAACCTGTCTCGCGTAGCAGCACTGCAGTGTGATTTTGTCTCTCTGGTATGAAAGATTCACCAATTGCAATTTTCCCACAGGCCAATGAATTGACATGGCTGCTCGTAACTGCCCAAGCGCTGAAGTCCTTGCATCCATCGCGCTGTACTGAGCGCCTCTTTGACCGTGAGCTTGGCTACGGTCTCTCCCAAATAGTAGTTCTCTTGTTGCTTTGTTTCTTTTCTCGGTCGATGACTTGTTCCCAGTAATATGTACTAGCACGTTCGCGCAGAGAAGGGATTCTCATTGGCTACTGCCTGACCGATCATTGAGCAAATCAAGTTCAGATATACTACTATATGGCGCCCTGTCTGTCTCCTTGCAGTTTAAATATTAGACTGGCCAAGAAGATATGGCGCCAGCGAAACAACGAAAACATGGTTGTCAGTGGCCTGTTACGAGTCAGACTTTCTGACCGTGATCCACCTAGCGCACCGGCCCACCACTCCCTATCTCCAGCACCCCCACTTAAAATTTGTATTACAACTTTGATATTACACTAATAATGTGTCTTCATTTTTCCATCTTATTATGCAATACTTTGAATTTTCTGTTTTCTAAAAACAGCGAAGGCACCATACAAAGTATGTACAAAAAATATTGATCTTGAAGGCTCGTAATATTTTTATATGAACTTACAAAAATTACAAAGTTCATACTGGAATTAGGCGTTGTTCTGAATTGATTTGCTATTTTTAGGCATTCAAACTAATTTATAGGTATTTAATGGATATAATTAAAACTGGAACTACAAGTATATTTTAAAATGCCTACAATTTGAAAAAAAAACAAATCATGTTTAATTTCTTATGTATTTTGGGAGATACTATCTGACAGACGTATGAAAAAAAACATCTAGTTGGCAAAATACAAACCTTGAGTGGCATTTATTTGTTGTTCAGTTTAAGAAAAAAGGTGGATGAAGTTTGTGAAATATGAAATTTTGTATGGTGGCCTAATTGAGAGAATGAAAATTCCTACCATCACCACGATGGCACGATCACTCAGCTGGATTGCCGCCATAAGCGGGTCCTTGATAATAGGCCAGCAAATCTGGTAAAAGCACGCGGAAAAGTCCTCTGGCCCAGCGACTTGTCTGGCAAAATGGGATTTTTCATACGGAACAATGAAAAGAAGATGTGGATGCATTTACGTACGTGCACAAATCTTGAACTGGTTGATTTACAATGCATTCTTGTAACTTGATGTTTTTTTTTTTGAAGAAATGATATTTTACCATGCATGGATCCACTGTCAGTGATTGCTTGAGATTCGTGCTACTTTTTTGGTTTTTGCTAAAATTTATCTTCTTTCTTTTTTTGTGGGATTTTTTCTATATCTTGTTTCAAAGTGTTAAAGCAGGTTTTTCCTCTTGTTCAAAAGACTATCATAATGGTTCATTGTGTATCATCTTTTGTCAGAAGATCCAACCTGAAACAAGTGCATTTTCTTGTTGGTACATAATGAATATGATGAATTGATGATACACTTCGAACCGAGAAAAAACTGAACGAAATGTTATGAAACAAGATAAATTTTGGCAACCACCAAAAAAGTAGCACGAACTCAAAGCAACAATGCATGGTGGATCCATCCCGTGCACTATAGAAAAACCACTCATGTTTTCTTGGTCATTTTGGAGATTGCTACAATGCATTGAACCGGTACATTTTGCATTGCCATAATGTATTCCCGTAACTTGAGAGCATGTTTTCTGAATGATTTGAAGATTCTGACCATGCATTGAGAGCATGTTTTCTGAATGATTTGAAGATTGCTCACCACGCAAACTTGAGAGCATGTCTGACTTATAAAATCATAATCGGACAAATATACGAAAAGAAAATTTATATATTCCGTTCAATGAAAAGAACAAACACAACAATAAAAAGCAGTACATTTCGATTCCTCGTATTGGCTCTGAAGGCTAAACCGCGAGGCTAACTTATTCAATCTTATTACAAGTGCATGCAAGCTTAGCTAGAAGCTTGAATACGTGTCTTATGTTGAACAATTATTAAATTTCACTGGTATTGCATATATCAAATTATATACTGATCATTTCAGGGCAAGCTCCTAGGGATTAAGACCCACCAGCGAACTTGGACTTGAGAAGTTCGACGACCCCGGCCTCCACCCTTAGCGCCTTGGTGAGCACCGGCGTGGGGATTGGCGGGTTGGAACCGAAGAGCGTGAGCGGCACGAAAACGATGCCGGGGTTCTGGCTGTTGAAGGAGACAACCATGTAGGCCTCCGTCTTACCAACGTTGAACTGGAAGTGCATGAGCCCGCGCGGGATGAGGAATGTCTCTCCAGCACGCACCACCCTGGAGTAGAGCTTGTTTCCGGAGTCGAGGCTGCCGAGGATTCCAACGAGGAGCTCACCTTTCATCACCATGCCGATCTCGGTCCCGCGCGGGTGGACGTGCGGCGGGTTGGTGCCTCCCGGCGCGAAGTCCACGCGGTTCATGGACACACCCAGCGTGTTCGTACCGGGCCACTCGGCCACGTCGAGCTCCGTCACGGCCGAGCCATTCGGGGTGGACGTGTTGCCGGCCTTGGCCAGCTTGGACGAGAAGAGGAAGTCGTCACCGGCCTCCGACATGGGCTTGCATGGATGCCCGTTCATAGAGACTGCCTTCCCGTCGAGGTCAGCAACGCAGAAGTCCTGGAGAGGGTCGGGGTCGGAGGCCAGGACGGCCGGAGCAAGGAGCAGCATGGCAAACAGGCCAGCCCCTAGGTTTTTGGAGTAACCCATGGCTTGCTATGTAGCAAGCTTAGCTAGCACTGATCAGCTAGAGTTCGTTGATCAAGAGTCTTTTTGAGGCACTGGTGGTTGCAGCTAAGCTGTGGTGGATGAATTAGCGATGAGGCATATGGAGTCTTTATATAGGGCTATGATCAGTGCATGCATGCATGGTGCTGGCTATGCATGCTGTCACCGCATGCATATGCCGCATGTGTGAACACCGGAAGCAGAGTTATTTTGGTGAGGATAGAGTATATTACTGATATTATTGGGGTCGAGATCTCACCTTGTGAAGAAATTGAAGATGGCCCAAGGTCAGAAGTCAAGGCCATACCGGCTGCTAAGGAAAATGGGACCTGCGAACAGAGACAAGGAGGAGGTGTATCTCAATGGAGTATTGTGCTTGGAAACAGATGTTCACAAGATTCGTGCACACCTCTACTCAACGATGATCTTGATTTCGTCTAGGATTCGGAAATTCATGAGAAAAATTGGCAATGTAGAAGGATAAGCACAACTATTGGTAACCACCAGTCCACAACTATTGGTTCATATAAGTACTCGCGCAAAAATAACATATTTGTATTCATACAAAAATATCACATTATTACCCACACCTATAATTCATACCCCTACGTCTCAAAGTATAAAGAGTATTATTTTTTCTAAAAACCTTTTTATGTTTGACTAATTTTATGGCAAGAAATATAAATATTTGCAATACCAAATAAACAAAATATATTTGATGGTGGATTTAATGATACTAACTTCGTATTGTAGATATTAGTATATTTTCCAAATAATCTTGGTCAAAGATTAATAAGTTTGAAATTATAAAGCCTAATACACTTGTACTTTGAAAACGGAGGGACTCATGGAAAATACCAGTTCGACCAATCATTGTGGAGATATAATAAATATTTGGTTAGTGTTTTATAGAGATTAAAACTTGTGCCTTGTAGTGTTTTATCGGCTCGTTCCAGTGCTTGTAGTTGTCACTAGGTGATCTACAGACATGAATGTAATTTTTTACTTCTTTTGTTTGTTGTACTACCTTAATTAGCAGTTGACGAATAGATCAAAAAAATTCTCGCCAAAAAAAGGATGCCTTGGAGAGGTTGGCAATATGTTTGAAAAATGGCAAGGTGGGAAGGATAAGTGAACGTGGTAAAGATGCGCAGGCACACACGCGCACACACTATCACCATATGCAAACACTCACAGGACATCTACTACCGCAAACTAGAATTGCGCAGCTTCAAGATTGGCGAAGTCACTAAATACTTGGCATCGACACGATCGCTGGTGGACTTGAAATACAACCACATGTTGGTTCCAGGGTGTATGCAGAGATTGATATAGTTCGACAGAGCAGGCGTGTGAGTCAGTTCTGCTTAAAGGATGAGGTCGAATCAGGGCTAGCCATTGGTGTTTGAGACGAGCAATGTGTACCCTAAAATTTGTAAACAGAAAAATGTGTTCTAAATTCTAGGACTGCACTATAAATATGATGTCAGAGTTTTGACCATAACAAATCGAACGTTTCTCATGGCAAATTATGTTCTTTAAGGATGACAAGTTTAGTGCGAGCATGACTATATTTTTCATCATCGCGTCAATATAAATTGGCATGAAGAACGTCAGATTTGTCGTGCCTAAAAATCTGACATCAGAATTTTTGTGTTTCGGAAATTTCATCATGATGATTGATGGTGACATGCGGCCATGCGGGTGCTCCACCTGGCGGAGGGGCTACCGAACTGGCCGGGTACACCGGAGACTGGAGACAGGGAGAGGCGGGCCGATGCGCTGGATGGCTCAGTCAGAAAGAAAGTCTTGACTCTTGGACACAACAGGCTCGTTGATTGTCACTGACAAGCACGTTTTAGTTGTTTCGCTGGCGTCTCGCGAATTTTTAAACTGTGATCAATCGTTGGTTTGTTGAATGATCGATCAGGCGCGTACTTCCCTTGTACTAGTAGCCAATGAGAACCCCTTCACTGCGCCAACGTGCAATATACTACTGGCAACAAGTCATCGAGAAACGAATCAAGAAACTATTTGAGAGAGACCGGTGCCAGGTTCATATCAGGGTTGGTACAATCATTGCTATACGCTGAACGTTAATTAGCAGATGTCTCTCTCTCTTCAGTGAGTACAGAACTAGAGATAAACCGGCGGATAAGTCAAGCCCGCCGCCACCCAACGGCTGCGTTGCACGTTGCTGCTTGGGCTGGACCGCTGGACCAATTAGCAAAGGTTGAAATAGCGGACCAAACTGTGGCTGGGTGGTTAGGCCTTCTGGTGACGTGTGTTCAGTGGAAGTAGATGTTTCCGTTGACTACGAAGACGACAGTGGCGACTTCATCAATCTCAAGATGATATGTTAACTCCGTTTCTCAAAGGTGCTCATAGAATAAGACATGCGTGCATACGTTTATAAAGATTAGTGTATTTGCGTATGGATAAAATTAAGTCTACGTCTTTACTGTGTTAAAAAAATAAACAAAGGTTAAAATAGCTAGCAACACACATCGCACTTGCTCGTCCAAGCCCAACGGTGGATAGCCTCCTATGAGTTCCTGTCCGAGCCTCGTCGATCGGTTGCATCATCCATGTCTCCAGGCTTCGTTTATTCTAAGTTGTGGTTAGTACGAGAAAAATGTGGCGAGCCTTTGCACCTCATTGAACTGACATCAGATTGAAACAATAGATGTCTTATTCAAAGTCGCCACAAGGCTTGATGATCCACTAAACAAACCAAACATCTCCTGCACCGCAAGGAGCTCAATAGGTAAAGATTTCATAATCATAGCCATGTCATTAGCGAAAAGCGATAACCTATGCCGAGTACACCATTGCACCAAAATTCCTAATATGCTGCTTCTCTCAAATTTCAACACCATGGCATTCGTGTGACATCCATAATTACAAGAAATAGAAGTGACGATTATGGATCGCCATACCTAAACCCACGTGCATGCCAAATTCTACTGCCCTGGTATCCATTGATCAAAACTCTCATACCGGCTAAAGAAAGCATAAGCGAAATCCAAGAGCAACACCTAGCCCCAGTGGCGGACCTAGAAATAAAATGGAGGGTGTGCACGCTTCAACAAAGTTGAAGTCTATTTCAATTAGCTCGCATGGGCCTTAGAAATAAGCTAATTTTTACATGGTGAAAAAATGTTTTCCAAAAATCTGGGTGTGCCATGGCACACTTGGCACACCTGGCACACCCCTGAGTACGCCACTGCCTAGCCCCAGAGCCGCAATCAACATCTGTGCAGCAAGAATGGCCACGAAACAACGTCGTAAGCCCTCATGACATCGAGCTTCCGGATTCCTCTGATGGAATTATTTGATAGATTTGCTAACCAACATGAAATTACCTTCGATTGTCTTTGAGCGATGAGATGACCCAAAACATAGGGCGCATAGAAAGTGCAAGGGCCTTGGAAATTATCTTAGGGATCCCATGAAGTAGACTAATGGGATGGAAATCCGCAATATTGGCCACCCCATCTTTCTTAGGGAGGAGAGCAATGTAGGCCTAACTGCGGGAATGAAAATTCCTACCATTATCAAGAGGAATCTGCTGGATTGCAGCCATAAGCGCATCCTTGATAATAGATCGATAAATCTGATAAAAGCGCGCCAAAAAGCCCTCTGCCCCTAGCGCCTTGTCCGAGAAATTGGGATTTTTCAATATGACACAATAAAAGGAAGAGGTGGATGCATTTACATATATGCACAAAGCTTGAACCGATACATTTGTAGTGCATTCCAATAACTTGAGACCATGCTTTTCTGACAAATGATGTTCTACCATGCATGGATCCACCGTAAGTGATCGCTTTGAGACTCATGCTATTTTTTTGATTGTTATTAAAATTTATCTTCTTTCAAAGTGTTGCATAAGGTTTTTACTCTCATTCAGAAGTGTATCATAATGGTTCGTTGTGTATCGCCGTTTATCAGCAAGTCTAATCTAAAAAGAGTGTATTTTGTTATTGGTACATACTGAGATAGGATGATACACTGAAACAAGAAAACGAAACCCAAACGAAACATTACGAAACACGATCAATTTGACAACAACCAAAAAAGCAGCCCGAATCTCAAAGCAACAAGGGATGATGGATCCATATATATGGGATAGCCCGTGCATGGTAGAAAAAACCCACTCTCATATTTTCGTACATTTTCTAGATTGCTACAATGCATTGAACCGACACATTTTAAATTTTGACAATATATTTCCGTGACTTGAGAACATGTTTTCTAAATGGTTTGGAGATTGTGCACCACGTCGCCACGACGTAAACTTGAGAGCATGTTTGACTTATAAAAGGGCAACATGACAAAATTGCAAAAATGATAATTATATATTTCGTTCAATGAAAAAAAGAAAGACGGCAATAAAAAGTAGTACATTTCAATTCCTCGTATTGGTTCTGAAGGCTGAACTGCAAGGCTAACTTATTCAATTTTAATACAACTGCATGGAGCTTAACCAGAAGCTTGAATACATGTCTTCTGCTGAGAATTATTAAATTTCTCTAGAATGCATATATTGAGTTATATATTGATCATTTTAGGGCTGGCTCCCAGGAATTGAGACCCACAAGCGAACTTGGATTTGAGAAGTTCCACGACCCCAGCCTCCACCCGGAGAGCCTTGGTGAGCACCGGCGTGGGGATTGGTGGTTTGGAGCCGAAGAGCGTGAGTGGCACGAAGACGATGCCTGGGTTCTGGCTGTTGAAGGATACGACCATGGAGGCCTCTGTCTTGCCGACGTTGAACTGGAAGTGCATGAGCCCGCGCCATCGCCTGGGAACACTTGAAGCAGAGTTAGAGCATTATTAGTAGAACCCTCAAACCCTCAAACCCTTATAGCAGTTTTAATGGTTGAGAAGTGCCAGTTTTTGACACTTTTAAGGGTTGAAAAACAGGGGCAAAGACTAGAACCCTCAAACCCAACCCGTAAACTGCTTTAAAGGTTGGA